TTTCCGAAAATACTTTTTGGAAAATTAAAGTCCCTATATTTGGCTCCACGTGGTTAACATGAAAGAGGGATAGTGGGGAAGCTCGGAAGGTTGGGAGAATATTGTTGTAATGGAGTGGTTTCTCGGAGTTACCTTGCAGAGCGAGGAGGAACACCCAGAAAACGCCCTTGTAGGCGAATACGCCGTTTGACAGTCAAATACGGCGACGGCAGACGAGCCATATGGAAATTTATCTCACTTTGGTTTCCCAAACTGACGGGAAAGAGAATCCAGTTATAACTTTTATTTTTCAGAAAGCGTGCCCCTGCCGCTGTGTCAGGGGAGCGGCGCGTTTTCTCGTTCTCGGTTGATTAGATTCGTTTACCTGGAAGCTGTCCTTCCTGGGTCTATCTTATGGAAACGGCCGTGCACACGGCACACTTCTGAAATTGCATCAAAAACAAATGTAGAGTACTAGTCGCCGTTAGGTGGTAGCTCACATATCACACAGTGCTTGCAGAGGAGACTGGTCATTCCCGTTGCGAGCAGTTTTCGTCAAAAAGATAATTTTCGACCACGTATAACCCTAAGAAAACGTCTGATAATGAAAGCGGTATATATTATTCTGACTACAGAAGCAAGCACATTATTAGTACTAAAACTGGAAAGGACACTGAGGGGAACTAGTCTTGACGGCCCTCATACTCGTGAGAGCTTTTTAGATGTGTGCATGGTCTTAAATGATAGAATATAATAATTTATAAGACAGTGCCTTCCAGACAAATGACCAGGAACTACCACAGTAAACACCCTTCTGGGACACTGGAGACATCGTTTAATACTGTCGAAATGCATCCCTAAATAGCTGCACTTGGACAAAAATCTCTTCGATGTCAGTTTGATAGGTTTGATGTCGATATTTCATTATAGGTATGAATCAATATGAATAAATGTTACTAGAGTGTGTGTTATTAATTTGCCGTCCTGGAAATCGTCGCTGAGCGACGAGCATTAAAGTATAACCACTTAACTAGTCAGAAAAATAAATGGCTAAGTAGAGTATGTTTCCGTCTGGGGAGGGAGGAATAGGGGCTGGCTGACTTCTCCCATTACATTAAAAATATAATAATGTATTGTCAAAATTCATATCATTGTTAAACAAAAAAATGAAGAAAGAAAGAAAAAGGAGTTAAACAGACCCCTTTTTATTTTGAGGCAAAGTTGACTGTAGTCTCACTATGGGTAACTATCGGCATTATTATAATTAGATAGGACAGCTTGCCAATCTTTACTCACGATGACGGACTGCGGGGGGCGTTGGTGGAAGGGAGGGAGGGGCATCAGTAGTTTAAGGGCAGGCTGCCCATTTGCTGTGCCTTCGTCGGCGTGTGTTCTACTACTCGCCGTCACAGGGATGCAAAAGCCGCCGACAGTTACGGTGTCGGTTAGATCAGTTTCTCGCAAAGATAAACGAGAATCGTTGAAGGTTGCAATATAGGTAGGAACGAAAGAAAGGTGTCGACAGCAACATCACGTGTTGTGTTGGGGTTTGGTACCCGTGAGACTGAGGCAGTGCTTAAAGTGTACGATGCACCATGTTTTAGTTGAAACTTTAGACTAGAAAAGCTTCATGAAAACCTGTTAAAAATAAGACCAGATATTTTATTTAATAAGGAGCTCCCAGATTGGGAACTGTATGCTACAGAAATATATCTATAAAGATATCACTATCTTTAAAGGCCTAGAACCCCAAAAATTAATGTTCCAGGAGCGTTTTGTTTTTTGTTTCTTTTAGTTTAGGCTAAACAGGAATTAACGGCTTCTATGTAGTTACTCTGAGAAAAATGTGTGCAAAAAGTAGATTACTAGTTAGGGAAGCTACCAGATGTCATTTTGAACGCACAAACGTAAGGTTGGTGCGAAGATGGTTTCGTCGCTAAACGTAGGCAATTATGCCATCGAGCGTCAAAAGCGGCTATACATATTCGCCAACACAGGCAATCATATCATCAAACAGCTCTCATTTCGGTGCACAGTTTGTGACCAACAAATAAGATCATATCAATAAAGTGCATAATATCATTTTCATTAATAAATATCTAAACCGTGATGTAAATTTAAGTCTATCACATTTGAATGTAACATTTCAACCAATACAAATCCGTTAGCCGAATCTAGCCGACACGACCTCCCCAATATCAAAGGGGATAGTGTTTGTGCCCATTTGTGTGCCATTCGTTTAGCCACAAGAAAATGTTCAAGAGAAACCGTGTGAGGCTGTGCCCCTCACTTCAAAGAAATACCCAATGTAAACGTACCAATTTCCTACCTTTACCGAACTGTTGTGATTTCTAACCGGTGTTTTACTGTAGAAATAAAAAAAAATACAATAAAAACCACGTTTAAAATAACGAGCAGGTTTCTAAGTAAGCTTTGGGCCTTTGGGCCTTCCCCTACCAGGACCTTTCCTATCTCCCGCCTCTCCTCCCGCCGCTCCCGACAGCAGCGCTGCGCTCGGTATGAAAAAGTACGCGGAGCGCGTAGCAGACGGATGGAGGCGGTTTGTTTGTGTCAAAGAGCAGAAAAACGGAGCACCCAAATAACAGTATTCAAACCTGGAAACTTCTTATAATGGAGTGTCACATTTCACGGGGGTTTTTAAGTTTGAGACAATTATCTAGAAAAGCTGTGCATGACCATTGTAACAGGCTGCAGGACGGCAGAGTTGTGTTTGGCTGTTTGCAAGCCGTTGAAAAGAGGTTATACCACAAGAACAGCTCTCCTCACAGCAACTCGAGCCTCTGTCCCGCTGCTCGGCTCCACAGTTTGAACCTCTTGTGTTCCCCAGCACTGAGTGCCAGTCGCTCCTTAGCCTTCAGGCCACGCCAGACACGCGGCATAGTCATCAGCAAGATTATTGACGCCTTCCGCAATGCAGAGATCACCAGCGTTGAAGGCTTTTCAAAGTTCATCATTGACTCTGCACCGGTCAGTGCTATTAGACACTTCTATGAGCTGATGGAGGCCACCACTGGCCTTCCCTGGGCTGCCAATATTGTGTTATGCAGTTTTGTATTACAACTGATTCTCAATGTTCCTGCCAATGTATACATGGTACGTGGCTGACCAATCCTTTTATTCGTCTTTGAGATGCATGTTGTTCTTTTCCGGAGAATACGACATTTACAATTTCAGATCAAGTGGAGCACGGGTAAAGAAAAACAAATTGGGGATCTAATTGCAATCAAAGCCTCAGTGATGCGTTCTCCAAGCCGTGATAATATTGCAATGGTGAGCCTGTTTTTACCTTGTAAGGTTAAAAAAAAACCACCACATTAATTCAAAATTTTACTGTTTTAGTTTGCAAAAGCGAATACAGAATTAACGCGGCAATATGGTTGTCAGACCTACAAATTTGTTTCAACTATTGCCTACCAAATGCTTCACGTAACCATCACCTCCTTTGCAGTGCGTTCAATATTCCTACAACCCAACCCAGGTGGGAACTTCAAATTAAACTTGAAGCAACACTTTCGTCTTCTGCCAAATGAATTTAAAAGATGACATGATTGACATGATTCATATTTCTATTTTCAGATATTTTAAATGCTGTTACACCTTGGGGCACTTTACTTGCTCAAGCTGATCCACTTCTTGTTTTGCCACTATGCAATTTTGTTCTTAGCCTTTTGCTGGTTGAGGTGATGTCAATTATTGTTTACCTTTCTGAAGTACAACGTCCTGTACACAGCGTATTTACATCTTGATATTAGGTTGCAGCATGGAAAAAATCAAATTCCGAAGAAGGCCTAAAAATGACACTTAGAAGAGCCAATCTTCCCTTCAAAGGAGAACCCTTGTACTTATTAAATCTGCGCCGTGGTGTCAATATACCTATGCTGCTAATATATGGTATAGTTCCATCGGTAAGTGGAAAACTTTAACTGTCCTGAAGTATTATATAATAAAAAGTAAGGTTTGAGTAAATAGCACTCATTCGTTTCCATTGTTCTTATTAAACAGGCTTTGAATATTCATTGGATTGTTATGATGCTGGCATCAATCAACACACAAATACTAATGTCACACAACAAAACTCGAAGAGCATTGGGCATTGCACCATGCTACTTCGAAACAGCAACTCCATATCGGGACTTCCTCCGTCATCTAAGAAATGATGTCATAATATTTAATAAAAAGAAAGTTTAATTTCTATGTGTATATGTATAGGTACATTGAATAAGTTTTCATGATTTACTGTGAAATGTGAAAATGGCATTATGAATGTGTTTCCAAATTTAGGAAAAAATAAATCATTCTTTGGACAAGTTAATTTTCTTATATTTCAGACCACATAAATCTTACACATTCATTTTGTTAAAATATTTTTCTGAAGTTTGCTGAAACTTGATCAAGTACAAAAGGTGTCAAGTCTTAATTTACCATCATGTTCTGTAAGCCACAGCATATCAGCAAGGCTCTGTTCAACAATGGCATCCTCTGCCTTCTCATGCATCTGTTGAAAGTGAAATAGTAATGAAAATATGTGAATCAGGACATTTCTAATGAAATAGCTGCAATGAAGATTAAGGTACTTACTCCTCTAAACTCATAGTCGGTGGGAGGATATTTGAAGTTAGGGCCAAAGTTACAAGTAACAGTACAACTTTTATGTACAGATACAGCAGGAAAGTATGATCCAAAATAAAGATCAGTGAAGGCCTCACCCTGACATTCACCATTTTTGAAGAAAATTATTTTGCTGCCAGGTAAAGGCTTTAAATTTTTCAGTGTGTCTTGTACTTGATCTTTTTCTTCATAATATAAATGGCTCTTAAATTTCACTAAGGGCTAAAATAGAATTCAAATTATTAAGAGTTCAAACTTCAAAAAACTATGGACAAAACCAAACAGCCTTTACTTCAAGTATGTACCTTATCTTTATATACAGAGGGCATATAGTTGCGATCCTTTACTTCTGGAAGAATTATAAGAAAACCTAGAACATCACCCTCACCATATCCTGTGCTAAAATGTTTTCCATGACACTCATGAAACTTTGTGCCCTTCCTGTGCAAAAAAAAAAAAAAAAAAAAAAAACAGATAAGGAAAATAAAATTCTGTCTTGAATGTAAAAAGAAAACCAATTAATTATATGCTACCTTGATCTCCAGGAGTAGCCAAACTTGTCATAGCCTAGTGGTGCCTGCAAATTTCCATACTCCTGAGCCCAACCCAAACGAGTTGCTGACCCTTCAGGCATCTCATCGATTGTCACTTCATAGTACCACTGACCCTTGCTGACACAATGGGTGGCTCTGATCATACAGTATCCTTTTTCCCCCGTTACTGATAGGCGGTCCTCCGATACTTTCAATTGTGGTGCTCGGTCATGAAGAGCAAGGAGTACCTGGCTAGGGCTGAGCATGCGATACAACCATCCAGGAATAGGTTTTCCTGACCATTCACTGCTTTCATCAAACTCCTGTAACAGTGAACACCAGAATAGTTGACAGTCATACTTCCAGCTACACAGAAAAAAAAAAGTTTCTAACTTTAAGACTGATTACCTGTCTGAATGGAGCATGCTGATCAGGTTCTGCAAGAATGTATCTATAACCATCTTTGTTGAAAGGGTGTTCTAGAGGATATCCATGGGCTGGTAACTTTGGAGCACCTTCTCCAGCAGGTTGACGGCCTCTTTTTCCAACAGTTCCACCCCCTTGATCTGGCAGCTTCCTCTTAGTTCCTCGCCCTTTGGCAGTAGTAGAATCCCTGGCTGCAAGAACAATACAAAGTCAAGCAAATCCTACACAATAAAAAAATTGTTTATCATAACAGTTGTTAGTACCTTGCTGAACTCCAACGTCAGTCATCTTCAATGCACCACTTTTTATCATAGCCTCATAATTCGGTTTTATTTCTGTGATAGGCTGTTTCAGTCCGAATGTCTCTTTGTCTGTTGCATTTCCTTCACAGTCAAAGAGTGTTCCAGAATCTTTCAAAAGAGCACGATGAATCTAAAATTTTAATTAAAAAAAATAGTAGCCCCATGAAAAAAAATGGTCACAAAACTACTGTAAGTGAAAAATCATTTAAAATTTGTTATCAATTTGCTAAAGGTGAACTCACTGTGGTGTGCCAAGATTGGGTAACTCGGCGTGACATAGTAGTCATTGCCTCCCAATACTGATCAATGAAAGGTATAATATCCAGATCTTTCGAAAACTGCGTTCTTGAATTACCTGCTTTTACACTCTTTTGAGTCAAATTACCCAAAGCAGTTAAAATCATTTGTGGAAATGCTGTTGAAACAATAGTATATTTCAGTTAAGGGTATAATAATAACAATATGTGTAACAATCAAAGGAAAGATAACTACTGACCTGCTTGAGTCTTCTTGAAACTCTCCAGCCCGGACGTTGAACAGTTTTTACAGAAGAATGTGTAATTAGTCATAAAAGGCACAAGCTTTCCCAGCTGGTAGGTAATACAGGACTCGTGAAACCAGCGCCCACAACTTGCACATAGAAGCTCGGCTATATTTAAATTGCGGTCTTTACCACTGGAATAAGAAGTAACACAGCTGACTTGAACCATTAGCTCCAATAAGTAAACATCAGTGCTAAAATTCACACTTACCAGTAACACTGCCCATCCCTCCCCTGCTTCCCAGCAGTATCACCAGAAGGGTCATCATCAGTCTTCTCCTCTTTGTCATCCTCAGCGACATCCATCATTTCACTATCCTCTGCTGTCCCTCTGCTGCTGCCACCATCATCGCGATCCTCCTCCATGGCAAGTACCGACTATCACGGTAGCTTTTGGGAGGGAATTAAAGGTATAAATTATATTAAAAACTAAAGATGGAATCAGCCTAATCACATATGAGACCCCTTTACATCTGAATAACAATTTACAATGATTTACTAAAATATTTGGTTGGTTATATTTCAATATCCACCAATATTGGTGGATACTGCTGAGTAGGTGAAGGTAAATTTACAGTATAGATTGGTGAAAATGGGAGATTAAGTGGAATAATTTTGGGAAATACTTGCAATTTCAGATTTTTACAATAATCAAAGAAGTGAGTAACAAAGAGGCAACCTAACCTTAAGGACGTAAACAACTCACACAACGTTGCAGACGCCAAAGCAGATACTTATCAGAACAGATTTCAAGTCTTACCAGTACAGCAGTGGTGAGCAGCTTAGTAAAATAAAATCCTTATTTTTTGGGTTGCGCAATACACGGTGGTGAAATTAGACCTTTATAAGGCAATCAAAACGAATTATCGTCTTTCTTCCCGCTTGTTTTGCTGTTAGCAGTCAGATGTCAGCAGACGCCGAACTGACTCGTAAATTTTTCATCGTCAATAACCGTAATGAGAAATTTGCCGTACGCAGGAACTGCCCTTTTTTTCCTTCTTTGTGGTCGTTCCCTCGCACCAATATCTTCAAGCCAATATCAACACGGGGCTGCGGGTTGGACTGGTAGAGATGTAGTAGTGGACGAGCTCGACCCTCCAGCAACTCTGCGACGATGGGGAAAACAACGCTAACTGGCGTCTGGCGTGAACACAGTGAGGAATTATCTGTTGTCGATATCGACACGATATCGGCATTCCTGACAGTGAAGACGCCCGCTTTTAGGAGGCAACCACATGAGCCGGGTTTGGCCGCACCTAACAATTAATATGTCGCTGTTCTTCAAAGTAACACCATATCCTTTGTGAAATAGTAGACTGAGACTAAACGATGTTGTTGCGTTTTCGTTTCGACTGTCAATTTCCAGGCGCGGTTATATGGGGGAGGGGGGGGCGAAGGGGCGATCCCCTCCCCCCCAGCCCGTCGGCCCAAATCACCCCCTGGGGTGGGTAGGCAATTTGTCCGACAAAACCCCTGAAAGCAGGCAACCCACAGCAAATCGCCCCCTCCGTCAGACGGACTTAAAACGGCACCTGTCAATTTCCAGCTTCCGCAGCCCTAAGGACGACGTATTTAGGTCGTCGTGGTGTGATGACAGTGGTGCGGTACGGCCCGGGTGGTGCCTCTCCCCCTTCTCCATATTTTCTCTTTTTATGTATATTCTACGTCCTCTTCATCGCTTAGGCCCTCCTCGCGGACCGGGACGGGGAGGATGAAGATGACGCGGCCGTCTCACCTCTTTTTCGATATGATATCCGCCGGATGACAAATTGCGCCCCGACAACATCGCCCGCCCGCCCGCCCCGCGCGTACAAAGGCCACAAGGGCCGCGGCCGCCTCCGAAACGACCCGCCATAGCCGCGCCCGGGGGGCCGCCGGGGCCCGCCGGGTCAGGCTGGGCGTGTGCTGCACTCGGAGGCAGCCCTACGGGGGATTATTGATACGCAGCGCTGGGATGCGATGAAGAAGGATGCTGCCGTCGTAAGCCCGAGCCTGTCCCAAGGACGTCCTCGGCGAGGTGCCTGCCGGTCTCCCGTCGCCCACGCCACCACCACGACCACGGCACCGCAACGATGCGACGGAAATGAAAAAATAAACAAATAAATAAATAAAATGTCGTAGTCGTAGGGCGTCTGGGCACTCACACACGGAAACCCAAGAACCCAAGCGAATGGGAATGTCGCACATCTGTGCCAGGCGGTTCGTATACACATGAGGGTACAGTACAAGGCGTGAAATTCGAAGGGAGAAATCGCACCATTCCTCCCTTAATTGTACGAATGGGCATCCACACACCTATAAGTGTGCGACATTCACACATTTTTGTGTTTTCAGTGCACTCATAGCGTAGGTATACCAGGTGGCTGATTCACGCCGCGCACTTCTGTAGGTATACTGTACCGCACGCACGAGTGAGGGCGGGTTGCCTACTCTTTTGGCTCGTAAGGCGCCGTGGACAGGGGTGATAGGCAAGCCCGCCCGCACTCGTGCGTGCGGTACAGTATACCTACAGAAGTGCGCGGCGTGAATCAGCCACCTTATTGTAAGGTATCATTTTCTAACAAAACAAGCAGGTGAATGAAAGAGTCCAAACACACGATACACCGCTTTCTCAGTTCATTTCCTGGTGCTTGCATTGAAGCAAAGCAGGGGTCGGCGGCACGGCGTCATACCCGCAGCTTGCAGCTCGTTCGCACACGTTTATCCGCCGTGTGCAGAGTCACACACACACACACACACACACACACACACACACACACAACTCTCCTTTTTGTCGCCGTGTGTGTGTGTGTATGCGCGCGCGCGCGCGCGCTCATACGAGACCCGCGCTCTCACCCTTCGTACCCGCTCCACGCGGGGCCAAAAAGTCAGGAAGCAAAACCCGCGCCCGCTCCCCTTGCCCCTGTCGTCTGGGCGTGTCTGGGGGGCTCAGCACGCGGCGCAGCCCGCAGCACAGCACGGCTCTGCACGGCTCAGCACGGCGCAGCACGGTGAACAACGGCAGAGTAATCACTTCATGAATTATGACCGAGGTTCACTTTTGTGAGTGTCTAAGGGAAGCGGGAGCGAACGAGGGGGGGGGGGACATGCACACACACACACACAGTGACAAACAACTCTGACAACATGTGACGTCACGGGTATGAGGGAGAGGCAGGGTGGAGGAAGAGGGGGCTGTAAGGTCAGGGGGCGGGAGAAAGAGAGGAGTGGTGAGGGGAATCTCGGTCGTGCGGGCGGGGGTGGGGGACTAGGGTAACGGGGGCCTGGCAG